TAATGTTGTCCCCATTTTCAAAAAAGGAAAAAGAAGAACCAAGGAAATAATTTCCTGGGAAAATTGAGGAGCAGATTATAAAGCCATCAGTCTGCAAACCTTGAAAGCAGTGTAGTGATTACTGGAAGCCAACATGGATTTCACAAGAACAAATCCTGCCAGACTAATCTGATTTCATTTTTTGATTGGGTAAATGTGGACTGTGGGTATGCTGTGGACATAATCTAACTTGACTTCAGCAAAGCTTTTGTAAAAGTGCCCCACAACATCCTGATTAGCAAACTAGCTAAAAGGGAACTGGATGGAACAACTCTCAGGAGGATCCATAGTTGACTAGGAGATGTAGTGGTGCAATGGCTTAATAATCTTGGAACTGTTGATCAGAAACGGTCAGCACTCCAATGGTTTGAACCCAGCTTTGTGGGACAGAGTGAGCTCCCGTTGTTTGCCCCTAGCTTCTGCCTGCCTAGCAGTTCAGAAGCATACCATCTGTGAGTAGATAAACAGGGACCACCACTCAGTGGGAAACCTGCTGGCTTCATTCACAATGAAAACAAGCACCACCAGCGTTGAATCTTCCTGGATGCACTCGGTGAAGGATTAGCAGAGAAAAGCTCCAGATGAACTGACTTCAAAGAACATCGCTAGCCAACCAGTGCTAAGGTAGTTTGCCACCTGTGGTGCACTGGGACAATAACAAACTAGCAACTGCAGGTGCCAGAACATATGCCATATGCTAAATAAAATTAATATAGCTGACTACAGAATCGGACTCAAAAATGCTCATCAATGACAGGGTTAATTCCTGGGCCCAGTGCTCTTCAACATCCCGTTTCTGGGCAAGGTGTTGGAGCGAGTGGTGGCGGGACAACTCCAAGCACTCTTGGATGAAACTGATTATCTGGATCCTTTTCAGTCTGGCTTCAGACCCGGGTACAGTACTGAATCTGCCTTGGTCACCCTGTACGATGACCTGTGCAGGGAGAAGGACAGGGGGACTGCGTCCCTGTTGATTCTTCTGGACCTCTCGGCGGCTTTCGATACCATCGACCATGGTATCCTTCTGAATAGGCTAATGGGATTGGGGGTTGGAGGCACTGCTTTGCAATGGTTCCGCTCCTATCTCAACGGTCAATTCCAGAAGGTAGTGCTGGGGGACTATGTCTCTGCACCATGGCAGCTATGCCATGGAGTACCACAGGGCTCCATTCTATCCCCTCTCTATTTAACATCTATATGAAACTGCTGGGAGAGGTCATCAGGAGGTGTGGGCTGCGGAATCATCAATACGCTGATGATACCCAGCTCTACCTCTCGTTTTCCACTAATCCAGGTGAGGCAGTGGTTGTGCTGAAACGGTGCTTGGCCGAGGTAATGGAATGGATGAGGGCCAATAAACTGAAACTCAACCCAGACAAGACGGAGGTCCTGTTGGTTGGCGGATCGGGCTTCGGAGAGGGTGGATTTGACCAAGTCCTGAATGGTGCAACACTCCCTCTTAGGGACAAGGTCCACAGCTTAGGAGTACTCCTCGACCCGGAGCTTTCTTTGGAAGCTCAGGTGACAGCGGTGGCGAGGAGCGCCTTCCTTCAGCTTCGGCTGATTAATCAGCTGCGCCCCTACCTGGAGTACGACTGCCTGGCAACGGTGACACACGCGCAGGTGACTTCCCGCCTAGACTTCTGTAACGCGCTTTACGTGCGGCTTCCCCTGAAGACAGTCCAAACACTTCAATTGGTGCAAAATAGAGCTGCCAGGTTGCTGACGGGGACGGGGCATTATGCTCACATGACTCCAGTCCCCCGTCAGCTTCACTGGCTTCCCATTGAAGCCCGGGCCCAATTCAAGTTGTTGGTTATGACCTATAAAGCCCTAAACGGCTTGGGTCCTGACTACCTGAACGAGCGCTTACGAGGAGGGCTTTCTCTGCGGTGGCACCCAACCTATGGAATTCACTCCCCAAAGAGGTCCGCCTGGCACCGTCGTTCCTGGTTTTTCAGCGCCAGGTAAAGACCTTTTTATTTAAACATCATTTTAATTGTTAAAATATATGATCTGGCCAGGACAACTTCTTCTTCCTTCTCTTTTCTACTCCTATATTCCTTATTTACTTATTTTATACTGTTAATTTTAATTTTATATTATTGTATCTCAGTGTATTTTTTGTATTTTTGTATTTAAGTGGTAATTTATTATGTTCTATTGTATTTGAATGTATCTTATTGTGTTGTAAGCTGCCCCGAGGCTTCGGCAAGGGGCGGCATAGAAATGTTATAATAACAACAACAACAACAACAACAACATATTTATTAATGATTTGGATGAAGAGGTACAGGGAACAATTATAAGTTTTTCAGATGACCCAAAATGAGTACGATTGCTAATATCCTGAAAGACAAAAAAGAAGATTCAAGATGATCATGATAGGTTGGAGAACTGGGCTGAAAACAACAGAATGAAATTCAGTCAGGACAATTGCCAAGTTCTTCACCTAGGAAAAAAAACCAAATGCATCATTACAAGATGGGGAATGCTTGGATCAACAATACAGCAAATGAAAAGGTTCTTGAAATTGTTGTAGATTGCAACCTGAAAAGGTGTCAGCAATGTGATGTGGCTGAAAAAAGTGCAAAAGCTATTTTATGCTGCATTAATAGAAGTATCACTTCTAAATCCCATGAAGTATTAGTTTCCCTTTACTAAGTACTGGTTAGGCCTCATCTGGAGTACTGTGTCCAGTACTGGCCACCACAGTAAGAAAGATGCAGACAAACTGGAAACGGGTACAGAAGAGAGCAACGTGGATGATCCATGGGCTGGAAACAAAGCGCTGTGAGAGAGCTTGAAAGAACTGGGCATGTTTGACCTCAAGAAGAAGAAGAGAAGAGAAGGGGAGATGTGATAGCACTTTACAAGTACTTGAAGGGTTGTCATAAAGAGGAAGGACAGGATCTCATCTCAGTCATCACAGAGTGCAGGGCACAGAAGAAATGTGCTCAAGTTGCAGGAAGCCAGATTCTGGCTAGATAACATTAAACATTTCCTGAATGTTAGAGCAGTTGAACAATGGAACCAATGACCTAGGGCAGTTGTGGGCTTTCCCACATAAGAGGCATTCAAGATGTAGCTGGACAGCCATCTGAGAGGAATGGTTTAACTTAGAGTCCTGCACTCCATGGCCCCATGGCCCCTTCCAACTCCACTATTTTATGATTCTTTGACTATTGGGCAGTATAAAAATGAAATAAATTATGTTAGGTATTTTATAAATAATACTCAAATTCATTCAAATTTGTAAATATCCTCGAGCTGTGTTAGCTTCGGTCAAATGCATTAATCTTCAGCTCTTGTTAATGAAAGTTACAATTCAGTTTTGAAACCTTCAATTTGCCAAAGAATCAGAAAATTATGAAGGTTTTCACTGTATTTCTTTTTTTTAAATCTGATATATCTACCACGTTGATGGCTTAAAGAAGCCAGATTACTTTGTTTGTGCCCTTTCTCTTATTCACTATATTTCCAATCTTTTGATGGTGCTGATTTTTACAGGCTTAGCCAGTTGTAAACAGGGGTCCATTCAGAGAGAGAGTGAAGAGGAAAGCTGCTACAGCCCAGCTTCCTATTTTCCTTTTCCTCTGTCTAACTGAAGTGTTGCAAACTGAATGGACTTGGAGATCAAGGGACCACAAAGAGCTTGATTGGACTGTTGGAGTTCAGATGAGGATTTTAGTAGCATTGCTTCGTATTACAATATCTGTGCTGTATGCATAATTCCTTCTTTCCCTGGGATCCTGCAAGATTCAGTTGCATGTGGGATAGCATCCATTCATTCTCTGCATATTGGGGTGTATGACCTGAGGGCCACATCAGACATCTGCTGCAGTAGCAGGGGCTGATATATATATATATTTGCACATGGGCATAGACATGCCCACAAACACAACTCACTGCTTCTCTTGTATATACTTTTATATTTAGAAACATTCAGCTTGGTACAGGTGGATAATTTGCTCTTTGTTTCCTTGGGAATAATTTATCAGGGGCTGAAGCCCCCCTGTACCCCTCCACAAACTACCCTCCTTACAGTCATTCAGTTCTCTCCTCAGTTGTTCACTCGTATATATTCACTTTCTTCCAGTTCACTCACATATATGCTCAACCTGCTCACAGCTTTAACCCTTCTCTTCCATCTGCTGGTGAGGGAACATGCTGTATGGTTTTTGCAGTAAAAGCTTCATTCCTAGAGTGTCCTTGGAGCATTTTAGGAAGAGGGCAGAACTTTCCTAGGGAATGAAGAATCTAGGAATGAGATTTCTATGGAAGGAACCTTAGAACCTCTTTTGTTGTGTTATTTTTTTTCCAGTTGGATTGGAAGCAAAAGCTAGGCTTTTAAGATCTGCCAGACAAGGCTTGTGGGGCTTCCTGTAGCTCATGGGATGCGCTTGTCACACGCCTGCGTATAATAAATACTGTTGAAAATGAGTCAATTTGATAATCAAGATGGATTTTTTTTCTTCTTAAGGGACACTTTTAAATAAGACAGGCCTATTTTAAATATCAAATGAGACTCAAAACTAAAAAGTTTTTTTAAAGACATGGATCCTTCTGGAAAAATATAGCTAAAAAGATCTTGAAATGATTTTCATTGAGTGTGTTTGAATCTGAAGTGAAACCTGGTGAGACCAGCTAGAGTAGCTTGTCGTTCGTTTTGTTCTTTTGTCACTTGTCCTGTATCCAGTGACAAGTGAAAAATGTTTCTGGGTGACTAGAGAGGAAAGCTTTTCTAAATTTCAAGAGAGCTCCTGGTTCTCATTGTTTCGTGTTGCCAGTATGCTGCAAAAGGTCTGCAAAGAGGTATGTGGGCAGCAAGGACCAGCCAGAAATGTTGTTAGCTAGTTGTTTACAAAGCTGTCTTAACAAAAACACATGAATGGGGTAAAGCAGTCATGAAATGAGAATGAATGAAGCCATTATGTATAACTGCTTGTATTTCTCTTTAGAATTGTCTGTGTGGTAAAAGTTCACTCCGTCCATTACGTCAGAGTCGTGGATATGCTACATCTGGAGAATCTGGGTATGTAGATTCATCACCTGGTTTTTAAAAATCTGCTCTGTCAGGTGTCCTTTTAATTACTACATTTGACTTACAGATAGCAGAGAAAGAGAAAGAGAGAGTCTTTTTGTATTGAATAAATCCTCTATAATTAATAAAGAACAAACCAAATTTCCCGGCATGTAATCCTGTCTAGAAGCTTTTCCACTCAACCTGTCAACTTTGAATCAAATGTATGAAAAATGTATGATCTTCTCTCTGGTACCTTGTCTGTGCAACTCCTCACCCTGGGAGATCTGTCTAGCTCCCTCCCTGATTGTGTTGCAACTCTTGACTAAAGCCTTCTTTTGTTCCTGCCAGGGCTTTATTCCTTTCCAGTGTTTGATTTTGTTCTGCCTGGTTTTTGCCTTTGTTGTTGGCCTTGTCTGCTATTTCCTATCTGTGATTAAGTGTTTGCTTTAAGTTTGACTGTTTTAAACTTTTGATGCTAGCCTTCTTGCATGCTTCCATTAGAAAAGAAAAAGTGGGAGGCACATTTTAATTTAAATTGCCTATCAGTAAAGTAGTTCGTATAGTTAATGAGTAGCGCATTCAGAGTATGAAATCACTTGTTCTACAAAATTCTTGTTGCAAAGAAAAGGTGCCAGAATGACGCTTAAACATTTGCTGCCCTTGACTTTTAGGCTCTCTTATTTTGTGCGCAGGATATACTGGTCTGGTTTGTATACAAATCAAGCAGTGGAAAACATGTGGTTCTTCGTCGTGGCCTCTGTGCATCACACATATGGGTACTGCGCCTGCGCAGTGCCTTTGGCCGGAAGATTGAAAGCTAACGGTTTTTGGCGGGAAGCTCCGCTCCCCTCCCCCATGGGCTATAAAGAGCGGAGCGTCCGCCATTTGTCCAGTCTTTGCGACCGCCGTTCGCTGTGCCTCGTGCTGCTTTCGACTTTCGCTTTGGCTATTCTTGGTTCTCTCCTTATATATTGCCCTTAAACTACTTTCCCCTTACTTCGCTTCCCATTCTGTGTAGTTTTGTCTCATTTCTTCTTCGATCTAAAAAAAAATAACCCAAAAATATATACTTACCCTCTGCACTATCTCTCTTTTCTTCCTTTTTCTGCGATGGTGCAGCAGGCGGCTTTCCACAAATGTGCTGACTGCGGGCCAAAAATGGCACCTACTGATCCGCACGACCTATGCCTCCTCTGCCTTGGGGAGGGGCATAGGATGGATAAGTGTGTTCATTGCCTAGCCTTCTCTAAGCAGGCTAGGAAGAACCGCGAAAACTGGCTTCTGAGGCTCCTTTGGGATAGGGCCCTGATGCAATCAGAGCCGCTCATCTCTATCCCAAAACCGGGCTCCGCTTCTGTGGCTGCACCCTCACGCCCTTCAGATGAAGGTGTGTCTGCTTCGCTGGCCCCCTCTGCCTCACCAAAAAAGAGGCATGAGAAGCGCAAACATGCCAAAGACAAGCCGGCAGGCCATAAGAAGGCCAGAAAGGAAAAGGCCTCTAAGCCTCCAAGGAAGGCTAAGTCTATGGATCGTTCCCAAAATCGGGACTCAGAGCCGACGGGCCCTTTGGTACCGGTGGCGGTTACGATACCGACCCTGCCCGAACTGATCCTTCAAGAGGCTATGTGGGTCACCCCTCAGGGGTCTCCCCGACGTGTGGTCGACCTCCCGCCAGCACCCCTTCCAACTCTACGGGGGTCTATCTCGGATGGGGAAATTCAGGACTCCCCTCCCAGAACGAGGTCACTGACACCGATGCCCGCGGTGACATTGGAGACAGAAGCTGGCCTGTCCCCATCAGGGAATCGGAGGAGCTGTTCGGTAGAGCAACGCCCGGAGAGTTGGCGTCATCCCTACTGCCAACCTTGGGGAGACCCACTCTCTGTGGGATACTACCCTGCTCCCAGAGCGTGATCCTCACCTCCTCCCCGTGACCAACCGCGGTCTGTGGATTCGAGGAGGGTACCGCCTCGATCCCTGCAAAGCGGAAGCAGCCGCTCCTTATCACCAGCGGAGTCGTCATCTTCTGCCCCGCCATACTATGGTGCTGATTCGGATGACTCTGATGTAGACTCAACCTCCCCGGACGTCGTGGTGACATCCCAGGATCCTGCGTCACCCGATGAGTCACACGTCTCCTTCGCGGAGCTGATGTCGAGGCTTGTCCAGTCCCTGGACATCGACGCTGCCCAGCGCCCGGGACCGTCGACGGATAAGTTTTACGACGTCGTCCGCAGGGAGCAATCAACCTCTATCGTTCTGCCACTTATAACTACCCTGCGGCAGGTGATGACGCAGCCCTGGGACCTACCTTCACATCCTCAGCCGACGTCCAGGAGATATGAATCTATGTACAGGGTCAGGGAAGAAGACATCCCCTTCCTGTTAAAGCACCCAAAACCAAACTTGGCGGTCGTCGAATTCTCACAAGGCAGGGAGGCGAGGGGACATACGGTGCCGAGGGATAAGGAGGGCCGGAAAATAGATTCCCTAGCCAGGCGGGTCTATGCTGCCTCGGGCTTAGGACTTCGCATTTCTAACTATGAGGCGACGTTGGCGCGACATCAATATTTTATTATGCAGCGCCTCCACAACGTCGCCTCCACCCTC